CTCTCTCTCTCTCTCTCTCTCTCTCTCTCTCTCTCTCTCTCTCTCTCTCTCTCTCTCTCTCTCTCTCTCTCTCTCTCTCTCTCTCTCCGCGCGTCATTTTGTTTTTGAGCGTTTTTTTACTTTTTTGCTTTCGTTCTTTTTTTTTTTTTTTGCTATCACTCGTTTTGCTTTTTTTCCAGTGTGTGTCATTCCTGGAAGCACGGAGCCCGGCCATTCAGCAACGACCGGTCCTTCCCTTGGCCGACCCCCCTAAGGCTGCGGCGCGTATACGGGAAGGCCCGCGGCCGATAGCTGGGCCAGGTACTGGTGGTTTAATAAAGATTTTATGCACCTCTTCGCAACACTTCCAGATTCAGGCTTTGAATTGTGTGATACCCGGCGAAATTGTAGACTGTGGATCCTGAAGTTTCCTGAGTACTTGCATTTGGCCATGAGTGCCACCAATGGCCACAGGGTCATGCTGGAAAGTTGCACGCCTCGCTGAAAGGGGCCTGCAGGAAACTTCAGAGGCCCTAGGGGCAGGACAGGATAAGTGGGCCAATCAGAGGGGCATTTTTTAAACTACTCCCCTTTTTCTGAGTTGGGGGGGGGGGTGATTTTCTTGCAAAAATTTATAAAACCTCCGTGCTATGAAACCTTTGTATTCATTTCCCCCCCAAACAGGGCAAAAAGCGTTGCAGGCCCCGAAATGACTTTTCATGTCATTTTTGCACTCCGGCTGGGCCGGTGTGCAAAAACGGCGGGAAAGTGTTTTTTTTCAGGGTACAAAAATGACCCCAGAACTCACTTTGGAGCCTGCCGCACAGTTTGCCCAGCTGAGCGGAATGAATACAATTATACAAAGGTTTCTTCGCTGTGGCACACTTTTAGTTTTTAAACTAAACGGCAAAGTGCTGCCCACGTTATGATTGAGTGTCGAAATGAGCAAGGGGTTTAGCAGGGGTCTAAAACTGCGCCAGTCATTACCCACAGTGGCCCTTGACAGATACAGGGTGGGCTTTTTTGCTCCATGTCGGGAACTGCTCAAGTTGCCTCTTCTGAACGTCGGGTGTGGCTTCGACGTACTTGCCCCAAAAGAAAACGTATGGGAAAAGTTATAAAACCACCCCGCCAAGAAACCATTGTCTCCATTTCCCCCCCGAATGGGGAAAAAAGTGCCACAGGCCCCAATATGGCTTTCGGAGTCATTTTTGCACCTTCCTAAACACTTTCCCAAGTATGGGAAAAGTTATAAAACCACCCCGCCAAGAAACCATTGTCTCCATTTCCCCCCAATGGGGAAAAAAGTGCCACAGGCCCCAATATGGCTTTCGGAGTCATTTTTGCACCTTCCAAAACACTTTCCCGCCAGTTTTGCACAGCGGGCGTTACCGTTACCGGCCCAGCTTGCCCCTGCTGGGGCTAGGTCCCACTTGCAGTAATTAAGAGATACTGACCCTAGATAGCAAAGATCAACGGCCGAAATCTCCTAATTTGCGCAAGTGGGACCTTGCCCCTGTTTAGGAATGTGGAGAAGTGTGTCAGGTTTCATCCATTTCCATGTATCTTCCTTTCTCCCCCCCATCTCCCCACCCCCCCCCATCCTTATCTCCTTCTCCCAGTCCCTTTCGCAATCTTGCATATTCCCGACATCTGGCGAAGGGCTGGACATGGACACAGCAACTTTTTCTTTTTTTTTTTTGGTTCACCGCACGGACGCAATTATATTCCTTTTCGATTCCGGTCGCAATTGCAGTATAAATGCAGTGCAGCACTTTTTCGCTGGAGTGCGTGCAAGCTCGGCCCTTTGTCTTTGCCCAGTCCGGCCGACATTGCATTGCATTAAATGACTGCAGCACTTCGCTGGAGTGCAAGGTTGGCCGAAAGCTGCGTAGTTAGCACAGACTGGCACTATGAAATTTTCGAATGAACCTGGCCTCAGTTTCCGTAAAATTCGTAGAAGAAGGTGCGATTCTGAGCACGCCAAAATGCACGGCTGCACGCTGCCGGGTGGCAGCAAGGCGCCAGAGCGATGCGTCCCGAAATGCAACAGAAGAATAAACAAGAAGTTATTACTTAGCCGTGACACGTCAGACGCAATGCTACGGCTCGTCGCATGCAACTTCTTCCCGCCCCCGTCCACACCAGCCGTCAAATGCAAATAAATATAAGACCAAACAAATGTCATGTCATGGAAAACAAAGCCCAGGGGCGCGCGCGGGCGCGCGCGCCCTGACCTCAACGCGCGCACAGCAGCCGTCCACTTGTACTCCAAGCATTGGTTGGTCGCAGCTGTAGTTTGGCGCGCATATGACGTAAGAGCTTGACAGTTGGCCAAGTCGTTTTTTCACCCACTGCATGACGTCAGGCGGCGCGCCGCCGCGCACAATGTGATCTGTCGCGAATCTGATTTGCAGAATCGAGAGTGTGCAAAACTGGCGCGTCTGTATGGCCGACGCGATCTTTCGCGGCTCTTGCCTACTCCGAAGCCGGCCTGCCATGGACCTCGCTCCACAATGGGGTCGTGTTCTGTCAGTGACTCAGTAGGGATGTAGACCATAAACTGTCCAGATTGCACGTCGTGCGTTCAGTAGTAGAGCGAGGCCCCATTATCTCGATTTGTGTGAGTGTCGCACCAAAGGGGGACAGATACACATATTGTCAGATTCTTTTTTGTATCGTTGAGAAAAACGAAAAGGCGCCGGCCCACGCAATACAGAAGAACACAATCCTGCATTTGGGCCTCGCGCCACACCACTCTCGAAATGTGAAAAAGACAAAAACGTGGCGGGTGCATCTGGCCATGTTTTAGGGGAAAGTTCATTATCATTTTGCACATTTCTCGAGTGGTGTGGCGATGCCCTTTTCTCCCCTTTTGGCTTCGCAATACCCGGCGCGCGCATGTACGCGATCGCATTTCCCACAAGTGCGCCTAGAAAAAGCGTTCGTGGCGCGTAGGCAGCTCGCACCAGGGCTTCCTCGGTCGCAGAATATCTTGCAATGAATGTGTCGCCGAAAAGGGTCACATACGTTCGCGACAGCCCAAGGAAAGAATGCGCCAGTGCGCGATGTAGTGATGCATACGTCACGCTTCGGCTCAGTTCCGCGTCACGTGAACGCGTTGAAGCAGTGTCAGCAATGATTCCGCACTGCTTCGACCGCCGCGCGCAAATGTGCTGGCGCAGGACAAGGCGGTGGCTGAGCGGATGCTCACACAAGCACTTCTTCGACCAAGCTCTGGATGTGATTGCGGCCAGATTCATCCACATCGGGTCGTAATTGGGATCAGATTCGTGCAGAAAAGTCCTAAGCTGTGAGTATGTCCTGAGTTGGGCCGGTCTTCTTTTTCTTTCCCGTATTGAATTGCACAAGCGCGCGCAATGGAAGCAGCCGCGGCGTGTCCCAATTTCGCCGTGCAATTGCGCGCGCAAACGCAACGGTGTGGGGAGCACACAACTGTGCATAAACACCGACGGGCCTATACTCATTTGGTACACCGCCCATGAACTGTTTTTGAAATATGAATCAGACTCAAGTTCGAATCCAGATACATATGAGATCGACAGAATAAAGGCAACTGTGCATAAGCGCGCGCAGGGTTTCTTATGTCTCTGCGAAACCTGGCCTCCTGGAAAACTAGGCAGGCAGACTTAAAGGCTTGCAAGGATACACGAACTTCCTCATTCCTCATTCACCGCAGCTGCCCGATAAGAACATCCTTCCATAGCTGCCGTGAAGTCCACTTCTCCGTCATCAATCATTCTTTCTACCTCCCTTCGTTCCCGCTCTCCGATCGCCATAGCCCGGAGCTTCACTTTCCCCGCTGCCATCTCCGTAGCTCCAAAGGCTCTTATTCTGCAGACGAGGCCAGCATTCGCTGCAATAGTGTGTCGCTTTCCGTTCGTCAGATTTCAGACGACAGAACGGTGCAGCTCCTTACGGATTCACAACGGACGTGTTGATCCTCATCGCTTTTTTTGGGAGCTGCTAACTGCTGGTAGGTAGATTCGACGTACTGCTGCTTTCGAATTTAAGTATTTCATTTTGCAGTCGATCAGTGCCATATTCTTGTGCCACCGACGCTGCATCCAGCCGAGGGTGTGTATGTGCGGTAGATAGCGACCGAGGGTGTGTACGTGTGGTAGATCGCAGCCGCTCATAGCGCCATTAGTACTGAGATAAACAGCGGCGCCGCCGCCGTAACTCCCGATAAACCGAAGGCACCGAGCAAATCAATCACCAGAACCGGAAGTGGAACCAGAACCCGAAGCGGAAGCCGAAGCGGAAGCGGAAGCGGAACCGGGAACCGGAACTGGAAGCGGAAGCGGAAGCGGACGCGGAAGCTGGAAGCGGGAACCGGAACCGGAACTGGAACTGGAAGCGGAAGGGGAACGAAAGCGGAAGCGTAAGCGTGGAAAGCAGCGGCAGAGGCAGCATTAGCAAGCGGAAGCGGAAGCTGGAGGCGGAAGCTGGAAGCGGAAGCGGAAGCGGAAGCGGAAAGCTGGAAGCTGAAGCGGAAGGGAAGCGGAAGCGGAAGCGGAAGCTGAAAGCTGGAAGCTGAAGCGGAAGCGGAAGCGGAAGCGGAAGCGGAAGCGGGGAGAGCAGCGGCAGAGGCAGCAGTAGCTGTACGTTAATCATAGAGAGGAACGCAAACAGCACGGGCGGAGGAGAGTATCACCGGTCAGGAGGAGCCAGCGGGATACCAGAGGGGGACAGGGTATTCTTCACGACAAGACGGATGGTTTTGGTAGGTAGACCAGCAGATACGCCATTCTCCGCAATGCCTCCAGCAGCCAGATTTGGATCGGAAATGCCCGCGCTTCATGAAGTCGGTGCAGATTCGCATGCTCGTTTTCAGCGGATGGCAAGTGATGGCAACACCGAAGGCGATGAACTTCCTCCATTGTTCCGAAGAATGCTGCGTGTAGATGACGCCGATCATGACGGACCGCCTCTTCCTCTGCATCCTCGTCTTCGTCCTCCTCCACAACCTTCCTCTCGAGTTCCTGATCCTTCTCCGTCTGCGCCGCCACATCCTTCTTCTCCCCCTCCTCATCCTCCTACTCCTCAAGCTGCCCCTGCTCCCCCTCCCCCACATCCTTGTCCTCCTCCTCCTTATCCTGCCTGGGTGTTTCATCCTCCACCATATCCTCCTTGTCACTTTCCTCTTCCTCCCCTTCCTCCATGTCCTCCTCCTCCCCCATATTACCATTGCCCATGTTATGCTTCCCCATGTTCCCCTGCTCCGTACGCTCCCTCCTCAAGCCCTCCTCCTTCATTTCCTCCTTGCCCCCCAGAGTCTCCTTCGCCGTATTGCCCTCATTTCCATCCACTTCGTCCTCCTCCTCCTCCTCCTCCTCCTCCTCCTCCTCCATATTCATTCATTGCGTATGGTTTCTTTCCTCCTCCTCCTCCTCCTCCTCCTCACGCTTCACATCCTGCTTCTCCTTCTCTCCCTCCCACGCATCCTCCCCCACATCATGCTCAATCTCTTCCTCCTCCCTCTTCTGTGCCGGTTTGATCTTGTGGCTACTCTTCTCAGGGTTCCCTCAACTCCCTGCCACCGGAGCAATCATCATGGCCCTACTTCAGCAACAGGCGAGAGAACGGTGCCGCAAATGCTTTGGCCGGTGCATTGAACCCGAGCGGCTATGGATGTGACAAGGAGCTGCGGGCGGGGCTGCCAACGAGATTGCGCATGAGTGCGCTGCGGGATGGATGCATGGTCGTCTTTGCAAGCCAAGAGTTTGTCATCCGTTGAGTGCGGACGCAGCAATGGCAACCGATCCCAACCGTTGATCTCGGATAGGTTTCTTTTCGTAATTTTGTAATTATTTTATATCCGTAATTTGTAATTACTTTAATGTCTATGTATGTATTTGGTTGACGGGAGAGCTGCTACTGAGCCAGGAAGGTCGAAAAAACGTCGCGTTTTATTTTTTTTTGGCGGGAGGGGGGGGGGGAGGGGGGGGGGGGGGAGGGGGGGGGGGGGGGGAAGCGGGGTGGAAAATAATAAATCATGAGTGGGTTTTAATTTTGTTTTCCAATCATTTTTTTGGACTGGCTTGAAAGAACCGGCGCGGAAAGAAGACCCTTGTGAGCACGACTCTAATTCGATATAATCATTGAACTGACCGGCCCCAGGCAATTCAGAATCATAAAAAAAAAAAAAAAAAAAAAAAAAAAAAAACCAGAATGATTTTGTTCCTTTCATCTGAGGACATCTGGATTCGATCTGAGTCTGTATGTCAGCAGTTGAGGGGTGTACCAACTGAGTACCGACTGAACTAGGCCCGTTGGTCTGAGCGGGAATTGTGTCCAGAGCTGAGTGCAAAATGTCATTTTGTGTGTATGCCCTCAGCGGGCTTTTAGCATGCAGCATCTGCCTCCATTCAGATGACTGAATTGTGGAGACACGTAACTTCTTTTTTTTTTTTTTTTTAATATGAAACACGCATGTAACTTTGGAGAAACAGATCATCTTCGTAAAAAAAAAAAAAAAAGAGAAACAGATCATGAGCAGGATAGTATAACGAAACGGACACTGCTTTTTTGAAAAAAAAAAAAAAGAAACGGACACACATGTAACTTTGGACGTCATCAGTGACTTTTATTTTTATATTTTTATTTTTTAATGTGGACCATTTCTCGATTTATGCGTGTCATCCCCATCCTGCCGGAAAGCCGCTCACTAGACGTTAGGGGGTCATATCCACAGTACCCCTTTTTCCCCGAACACAGCCCACCATCATCATGACTGTATACAGCCATCTTTCGGGTCTGATACAGCTCCAGCCCAAGTTGGATTGTGAGCTCCCAGGCCTCCACACTGCATTTTTAGAAATGAAATGTCACCATCTTTCTGAAAAAAAAAAGAAAAGAAAAGAAAAGAAGTACTTTACAGAGCCCATTTTTATTCTTGTTTTTATATTTCAATGCGACCATTAGTCTATTTATGCTCTGCAATGTCTGCATCGTTGTGAAGCGACCACACTAGCTCTTCTGTATCGTTTCTTTTATTTTAGGGGTAACTCCGGCGCAGTCACGAAAACAGTTTGTAATTGCACTTCAGGCAATCCCGGGAATACAACACACCCCCACGCGACCCCACCAGACCCGAAACGTAGGTCATATACATTCAGCATTACGGGCCCTTTTGCCTGTAGTACAATTACAAGCTCAAACCCTGACTGCGCCCTAGTTTTCTCTTTATTTTACTTTTTCCTTTTTTATATATATAGTTCCGCGCCCATGGGCGAAGCTTAATTAATTAATTAGCATGCCACCTGCGCAGCTGCGCTCTCAAGGATGACATGCAGTAATCAATCAATGTTTCAAGATTGCATGCCAAACAAACATACTGCAATGAACCTACCACCATCCAGCTCAGGACACAACATGCCTGCAGAGAAGACTCAATGAATGTTCACAACTTCACACCACACTCGATAGATGACACAAGAAGCAACACTTGATTGAGTTCTACTCAAAGATATGCTATAATACAATTATTCGAGACTTTCCGTATACAGCAAAACCTGAGTAGATCTGGATTTTGTGATCAGGCGGGTAAACCACATGCGTCAACAGCCGCGACGCAGCTCGGCACCCGACTTCAGGTAGCTGAGGTAGGTACCCATCTCTCTCTCTCTCTCTCTCTCTCTCTCTCTCTCTCTCTCTCTCTCTCTCTCTCTCTCTCTCTCTCTCTCTCTCTCTCNCTCTCTCTCTCTCTCTCTCTCTCTCTCTCTCTCTCTCTCTCTCTCTCTCTCTCTCCCCCTCTTGTATCACACAACCTCACCGTATGTGCTCGCTCTCCCCCACTTGCCTAGATTTACCCTCCATGCTACCGCTACGTGTCATTCGGAACCCTATCAGCTATGGCGGCCGTCCTCCTCCCTTCCTAATGCTGACTATGTTGACTTCTTGCAGCTGGGAGCTTGCTTCCTCTCCAGGCATTCCCTTCGTCCAGGTCGTGCTATCGCACAAGCAGCTAGCAGCGCTTCCCCAGCTTTGCGAATGAACATTTGCCGAGGTCTGGCACTGTAACAGCTAAATATAGTTGCAGTTGACTGTTCGTGACCGCGTCGAACCGGTACCCGTAACCTGCGGCCTCTGCCTTGCCGAAATTCGTGTTTCCGGAAGTCTCCCGGATTTCTTGGGACGCTGCTGCAAAATTGGACTTGGAACTTGACTTAGAGGTGGATCCCACAATGAACTTTTACCAAAAAATTGGAAAAGCTCCCTACAAGTAGGGCCTGTTCCTCACGCTTAGTAAAAAAAAAAACGGATCCCACACGGGCAGACGCTGCGGCTGAGCGGCGCGCGTCATACAATTCGGTGGACCGCAGCAAACCTATGTATACCCCACGGCCGCAGATCCTGCAGCCTCGTCCGCGGCCGAGGAGGCCAGCCTCTACCCAGCGGACTAGGCCAAGCGTCCGAGCAACTTCGCGGTCACGCCACGCGCAGGCGGAGCCACTCGCCCGAAAACGGGGCGCGCGCATCTCCTGCGCATGGCGTCCCCCTCCGGAAGCCACTAAAAATAAAAATAAAAAAAGTGAATTTTTGGGGGGGGGGTCTGGGTGTATGACAAAAAAATGAAACAAAAATAATATTGATTGATTGATTGTTTTTTTGATTGATTGATTGATTGATTGATTGATTGATTGATTAATTGATTGATTGATTAATTGGTTGATCGCAGCATGAAATCCTTTCACTCTCGCTGGCCTAATGTCGAGGTCCTCTGAGAAAACTACGAACTTTACCCGTCTACGGCATTGATGCCCCTTCTTGGCAATGGCGGACACAATTTGTCGGGCAATCGCCATTAGCTCATCCCTACTGAAACAGCAATCGTCTTCGGGTTCCTGGTATGCGAACCTGACCTTATACTGTCTTCTACGAACACCATATTTACCATGAATGGCGGGTGGAATCATAGACCTGCATGACAGGAACTGGTCATTTGTGACACAGGGAAGAAACTTAGAGGCATGGAAGTCTGGGTAAGTGTGCAGATGAGGCGGCATTTCAATCGTGTAGTCCGTGTAGGAGGGTCCATTGATCTCTCCAATGACATCGAGAACTTGTAGTCCGTGTAGGAGGGTCCATTGATCTCTCCAATGACATCGAGAACTTGCCAAGGCCCTCGGTATGCTGGTAACAGCTTCTGGAATATTCCTTCCTCGAGGAGGAACTCCTTGGACTTGACCCAGACTTAATCTCCTTCAGCAAACTGCAATGCTCTGTGCGAGTCTGCTGTGCTTATTGGCCTGTTCTAAGATCTGATGTTGGGCTTCGCAAATGTTCTTTGTTACGCGTTTCAAGTTTTTCTGTATTGGATAGTAAATTCCCTATTACCAGGCGGCATCATGGCAGTCTTTGAATCTGATCGCTGTTATCGATCGGACGCCTAGGATGCCAACCCCTAATATGCAGTTCATTCGGCCTGCGCGGCGTAGCCAAATGGACATAGTTTTTGTACGCAACGGCTACTTTGAGAAGATGCTCATCCTAATCGGCTTGGTCTGGCCTAATGTACACGTGATGCACTTGCTGGAGCAGCATGTTCATCTGCTCGGTCTGACCATTGCTCTTGGGTTGTCTACGGGACGACATCTTTAGTCTTGACCCATAGGCCTTCATCAACTGTTGCCAACTTGCCACTGCTCGCGTGTGAATCTAGAATCTCTAGGCTCTAGCACTAAGTATAGTCAGAGGGTGCTCCTAGTCTTTGACCCAATGGTTAAAGTCTTAAAGAACTCCCTGATGACGAAGTCAGTCTTCTCTTTTGCGGGCAGCAGAATGAAAACAGCAAATTTACTTGATTTATCCAGGAATACCATAACCTGACTCTTACCGTTTCTACTCTTAACTCAAGTGTCCATAAAGTCTATAGATACGGAGTCTTCGGCCCAGACGGGATAGGCAATGGTTTCAACAGGGGTTGCTGCTTGGAACTTTTCTTCTGCTGACTCAGTGTCTCTCTAAGTGTGAAAAGCTCTCGCTCGTACGTTGAGGCCGCAACCTTCTTACTAGGCAACCTACAAGACATGAACTCTACGTGTTTGTATCCTTCGTCGTCAACTCGTCATACTGTTGAAGTATAGCGCCAATTCCATACTGGTTTGCATCACGCGTGACGACAAATGAGAGTGATGGATGCAGTGGTGCAGCGCTATGAATCCCCAACGGCCATAACGGGGGGGTTTCCTACATCCGACCGCTGAGAGTGCGACCGCAAGCGACCAACTTCCGGCAGCAACCTGCGGAAATTTCTATTAAAAAAAAGAAGCCCAGAAAAAAAGAAAAGGGTTTGTAGGGTTTGAAAAACCGTACAACCCCGTTTTATTTTTTTGGATTTCAACATATTTTTCAATTTTGAAAAGATCAAAAACCAAAAAATGCTAATTTAAAAACCACAAAAATTTTAAAACAAAGACTTTTTTTTTTTAAGGTGTTTCCCAAGGTTGTGCAAAGACCAAGTCCTCCACCTGTCTCTTC